AGTCTCCGCGAGAACCTGAGGGCGAGCTTTATCTCGCGGAACGAACTTCGCCGTTGACCGCGCTTGCGTTCCGTGCCTTAGCGTTGTCGAAGGTTACGTATTATAGAAAAGAAATAGCACATGGATGATATTAAGGATTATCATCAGCCAAATATTTTCTCTATCGATTATATTTCCGTTTGACAAAACGAAATTTTCGTGTCACAAAAATACAACTTGTTTGTTAGAATGAACAAAAGTATTACATTTAGATCTTACGTTCCTATATCATCCCAGCAAGAAATGACTCATCGAATTGATGTTAAGTTGACATCGATACGATAATTTCGATATCAATTAGACATTCGATTCTAATAACAGTCATTCTCGCTGGGATATGTTCGAATTGTTTGAAAAGTATATTTGAATTCTTCAAATCTGAGACATTTAAGTGCTCCTGGCTACTCAAATGTCATTCAGATTATCACTTCGAAGTATTTAAATAAGCTCTCAACCTGAAATTAGTAAAATATTTATAATTATTGTAAAATACCGAAAAACAAGGAACAATTCTTTAAAGTTCAAAATGTCCTTTTTAAGTTTTTTAAAATTTTTTCCCCCCCCCCCCCATGTATCATTTTATCCTTGTTTATATAACATTCAGTGATCAACGAGAATGAAATTAAATTGCATTTGGATGGTAGGTATGTCTGAACTTAACCAAGAAATTACACCCACTTTTTCAGCAATTATTTATCGAGTGAGAAATTTGTACGCACTCCAGAAGAAAACAGGACTGAAAAATTAATACCCGAAATGGGAATAATATTTTTAAAAAGTATATATTATAATAAATATATAATGAATCTAAATTTATATATTTAAGAAGTGCGATTCGAAACAATTTTGAAACACTCTTCAAAACTTGAGTCTGTTAATTCAAGTATCATTTTATGTTTGTTGTTCACCGAATGTTGAACAAGGATACAAGATGCTCGAAGCTGACAGAGTTGACTTTAATTTTAGGAACGCACTTCCTGGAGTTATAAACAATTTTGCTTATGCAACTCTGGCTCCACATGGACACGATTAAACGCACATACCTTCGCTTGGGACGAAGATGTTCAAGAAAAGACAATCCTCGCTGAATCCTGGATCTGGCATGTCCGGTGGTAACAATTGCATGTAGAGCTTCTCGTGGAATTTAACTTGACCCTTAGCCTGCGGGCAGGACGGCGCGAATTGCGTTGCATTTCTCACGTCGTTCCAAGAAGGAAGAGATTCTGTCATCGGCCGCGTGAAACGAAGATTGCCAATCGGAGCTTGTGCGTAAGGGATACCGAGATACTGCGTTAGTCTTACCGAGTTGACAGCTATCTAAATTTCAGAAGTTTATATAAGATAAAAAAGAAACACACACATATACACACACTTATTGGAGACTAAAAATCCTAATTTTAATGAGTTTTAATTTCATCATTGACCGTTCTAGAATTAAAATAAAATGAAACGAATTTGCAGAATTATTCTCTTGTTTTCAAATCAAAAAAAGAAACTGCGCACTCACGCAAAAGTTGAACTCGTATTACGTTTAAAAAACTGACTGTATATAAGCGGTAGCTACATTTCGTCAGTTTCAATTTTAAAGTAATATTTATATAAATTTATGATAAAGGGCTAACAATTTCTTTTTGCAGTGACGTGCTTATAATATTACATTATACAATCATGACTGCCCCTTGACGTGCAGCACAAGTTCGACTTTCAAATAATCAACACGTGCTGTTTAGGTACATCAACGTTATCGCGAGAAATGGACGAAAAAGCCTCGTTCTATCCTATTTAAAAATTTTATAACCATTCTATTTTTTTTTTAATCAAACTTAATCTTAATTGAACTTTAACAATTAGAAGTGATGATGACAAATTTTATTAAAAGTTGAAAAAACAATTAACTTGATATCATTTTCATTTTTATCTCTATTAAGAATTATAATCTAAATGAAAAACAAAATTAGCGAAATTAATACTCGAATCAACAGATGTAAAACCAACTGTTTATTTACAAAAGACGTCTAAATAAGATATCAATCTGTCAATTTGAAATTGTTTATGATGGAAGACAGAGACAAGTTGTCTTAGCAAATTAATATAAAAACTTAAGACCGACAAAAAGATTGAAGCACGGTGTCGCACCTCTTTGCCGAGGACGGTCCCTTGACCAGGTATCTTAATGGTCGGATTTTCGCGATTGAGACCCTGTCGCGCATGGGTCCTTTGAGCGCGGCTAACGTGGGTCCTCTGGACGAGAAGCAAGGTAGACGCAAAAAGCAGCCACGTCGCGTGCTTCATTCTGCAGACTGACTGGATTCCGTCAGGGGACGTAGCGCGGCGGTTCCTCGAGCCACCTCCAGTTTCACGGGGGTTGCTTCGCGTGACTCCCTACGTTTCGCCTTACTCCACAGCTACCCCGCTCACCGCTCGCCCTCGGTGCCTTGGGTTCATTTTCTTGGGTTCGCGGTCGACCGTGAGCGACCTGCGCTCTTTCACCCTTTGCGCTTTTACGTTTGACGGAAAATTCGCCACTCCGAACCCTTCTACTTCGAAACACGTGCGAAAAGTAAAGCTAACATGGTAAGTAAACATGGGTGTGACATTAAATGATTAAAATATCCTTCAGTGATAAACTCGGTATTGATTGCCATTAAAATGCGTAATAAATATTTATATAAAAATTATGTGTCGACGTATCCCCAGTAATTATTTGTATAATATTTAAATATATTTGAAAGAGAAAATATAATACAAATAAATGTATCTATAAATGGGAATATGTATTTAGAGAGGATATATAGAGTTACAATTCACGCTTCGGTAATGCTAGAGACAGCATCGATGTCTCTCAGTTTACGACAGCGAAATAAGTATAATTTATCAATAAAGAAGATCGCAAAGTACGCAAGGCTAATCAATCAAGATACGCACGGATAAGATGCAGGATAAGAATGCACATATACCTACGTGCTCGTATACACGTACGTTAAGGTCAGACACGACTACGATTGGCCACAGATCCAGGCATTCATTTACATAAAAGTATTAATCGCGACGCAAATAAGCGCCGACGCGTGAAATGTAACCCGAACTTTATCAAGCCACCCGTTATTACAAGACGCAAAAGTAGACACCGTATTGTAACGATTGACCTAAAAATTCAGTTAACGGCAGAATTTTAAAATACGGATGACACTTGGTCGATATATTGCATGAAATACTGCGATGTTACTCATCGTAGCACGCAGGAGCAGTAAACGAGAGAAAATTTATTGCCGCAGACTATATACCTCCTGTACTGTTTTTCTTGGACTCTCGAACTCTTTCGCCGCAGCTGTCTTTCTAATTAATTCGTATAATGTATGTATGATCGATAACGTACGAGGGGTGAAGAAGAATCAGAGACGTCGAATGAAGAATTTCGTTGAGGCGTCGAAGGCCTTGAAGATCGATACAGGGGTCTTTCGCCCCGAAGAGAGAGAGAGAGAGAGAGAGAGAGAGAGAGAGGGGGGGGGGAGAGGGGACCAGGTAGCACGCTATCATTAAGATGTAATCTTCAAGCACCTCTTGCTAGTGCGACCTTGAACGTTGCACAACCCACAATTATCTGTGTCCGGCCGAAAAGTCCTTTCTTCAGCTCCGATCGCAATTACGAGAATGGATAGCGTGTCGATAAATTATTCTATAAATCACTCTAATAGTAAAACTTGCAATCATTTCTTTCAATACCGCGAACATGCAGATTATTAATATAAGCAAAATCTCTTTCGAACCTTCAGCTTTTATTTTTGAAAGTGATTGTTGAAATTTGTTTTCCTTTTATTGCTCTGATTTTTATTTTGTCCTTTAAATTGGTCAAAATATGCTTTTTGCTGGAAAAAGACATCATAATTTTGAATTTAAAGCAAAAGGCTTCAGGTTTGGTACATTTATTGTATGTCGGAATTTAATCTTTATTTTGGTTCAATTAGGTGCGCCAGTTATATCCCATTCAATTATGTCTTTTTTTACAATAGCCAACCGTAACGTAAAAGTGCAATTACACCTCTCTCGCTGCACCGCCATTCGAAGTCAGATAGCGCAGTGCCGTAACACGCAATATCATTTAAACGGGGCGTCGCGAAATTTGTGAATTTAAATGTCTTTTACAAAGTTCTTTGATACTTTTTATCTCCAATACACTTGTCTGGACACTTTTTATAATAAATTATTGAAAAACACAAAATTATATAAATTTCAGATATATAAATCTAGATTGAAATCTGATTGCCTTCTCCGTGAGAAAATAGAAGTTTAATGTATGCGTAAATATTTAAATTAATTCTCGAATACTTAGAAGATATTGTTTTATTTAAATCGATTTTTGCAATCATATCATAGATACATAATAGCGAAAGCTTTGTGCAACCAGAATATATGACAAACGATACCGAAAACAATATCAAAGTGAAAACATTTCCTTATTTTTTTTTTAAACTTTTAGAATCATTTCAAAATTTTAAAGAATATTTCTATCAAATCAATTTATTATTTTTTTTTATAAAAGTATACATGAATTGAGATAAGTATATAATGATGAACATGGGTTTTTTTTTAAATAAATGTCAAATAAAATATTATTATCTAATAAAAAAAATAAATAAGAATTCAAAATAAACTTCCACATATGATTATAATATTTGTAAATTATTTTTTCTTAATTTTAACCATTAAATTATTATATCACGACAGTACACTTAAAAAATAATATTTATTTATTCCTTTACTTGCGCCAGTTTCTTCGCATACTCTAAGTATCTCTTCGTTCTCCCCGATTTAGTACGAACCTGGCTGACAGACTTGCACGAGTGCAACGAGTGCAGCACCCGAAACAATGGGAGCGTACGTGAATTCCAGGTGTTGTTTACTCCAATTTATTCGTCAATGAGTATTCCTCATTATGAATTATAAGCCGGGAAACGCGGGAAGATGAACGTACGCAAATTTGACGACGTAAAAGAAATTATCCGTGAAATATTGGCAAACCAGCACCCCTATTCTGCGAGACAGACGTAATATATTTTTCCTCCTGTACCGCGTGGTGCGATCATCCTGCGTCGTGTGTTGACTCATACCTGCTCGGACTGCAAATTCCAAATGTATAACTCATAACGTTATGTCGTGGAACGGCTAGATCGAGACTCAACGCTCCCGCATTTGATATAAAACGCATTTAATATAAAAATCGCCCGCGAAATCAAAATGATAATCGCATCCCTGTTGTTCTTCTGCGGCGTTTACTCTGCGTGCGCTCAAAAGTATGAGGGCTGTTTTGAGAGTTCCTATTCAAATAACAGTCTACCCACTCCTGCTTTGGCGCACGCTAGTACGCCCGCCGAATGTGTCAAAAAATGTCATTCTCAGTACTACATGTAAGTAAACAATCTAAGTATCCGGTCTAAGAGGTACACGTACTCTACCAAAATTTTTAGAGTGAATCTCACTCTGAAGAGTGAAAAATCTCACCCTTAAAGATGTAAAATTGAGCCACCCTTTTTTAAGATTGGTTCGATTTTAACTCTTTAGAGTGATTGTACTTAAAAAAAAAATTTAGAGATTAGATAAATATTGTTTCCGATCTAAGCGTTGAATAGATTTCAAGATTGTAATCCTTTTTTCGATCAATAGGTTCGCAGGGCTAATGAACGGGCAGCAGTGCTATTGCATTAACAAATTCGGCCAGCCATCGGACAGCTGTACTGTTCCCTGTGCCTCTGATTCTTCTTACTATTGTGGCAGCTATGAAGCTATGAGCGTTTACGCTACCGGTCAGCGAGGTATGATTTGTAACAATACACCAATCTTTCACTTTATTCCATGTATCAGAAATCATTCCAGCAACATTACAATGTTCGAACAATATTACAGTGTAGCATTCTAAATATTGCAACAATGTTATATTGAAAGCTTGTATGCTGTGTAGGATGTAATTTTCATTATGCAGCGCACGAGATGAAATACTAAACTCTCACCAATGTCAGCTTGATACAGTGAAAAAAAATATTAATATTATATTAAAATACGTTACAATTAATATGAGTAAAAGGATTATGCGTGTATCTTTTGTAGGTCCAAGTCCACCGAGGAGAGTATCGGTAAGTGAGGAGACAAAAGATACTTTTAAAATAACATGGCAACCGCCAGATATACCCAATGGAAAGGTAATACTTTACACCATCCGCGCCGTCGTCGAAGAAACGTTCTCAAGCAACGATTTACCACCTATCGAAAGTCAGATTCAAGGAGGTTCGTCCAACATGACGATTCTGAGAGGTCTTCAACCTGGAACTAAATACCACATATCTATCACCGCCAGTAATACACAGGAGTCCAGTGAATCGGCGAATGTTACGGGGTGGACTCTGATAGGTCCACCCGACAAACCAGCCGTGCCCAAAATATTGGAACGCGGAAACAATACGATTACCGTCATGTTTACCGAGGGTCACAGCGAGTATGGACCGATTAGCGCGTATCAAGTTCTTGTCGTACAAGCTGACGCTATACCTCCGCCGGCTGAGGATGAATATTTGAATTACAAATCCGCATTGGAACAAGGGTTAAGTTACTACATTGCTGCGCAATTCGACCCGTTGGACTTTCACAGTTACAGAAAGTTCGTCGTGGGCGATGGAAAAATAATCGGCGGTTATCATAATGTCCCATTGAAAGACCATTTCGCTTCCGCGCAAATCGGCTTGGTGATAATCTCGCGTATGGCAACGTATGAACAACGTTCCTATTCCAATTTGACCAGTATCATACTTGGTCACGAAACGAACCAAATGGACACGACTGCTCTTGCACTTTGCATAGCGATCACGCTGCTGAGTATACTACTCGCTATTTCGATCCTGGTATATTTCGTGCTGCGACGGCGACACGAGAGATTCCACATGCAGAAGTTGCCGGAGCAACAGGAGCTCACGTTGCAGGGTCCGGTATACGAGGTGGATAATATGGGCTACATTCCGGAGGATATCCCTGAAAGGGTGAATCATTATCAAGAGTTGAAGAAGAAAGTCTGGAGTATATCGCAAAACGACCTGTCCATTGATGATCACGTTATACGCAGAGGACGATTCGGCAGCGTTCACACCGGAACCGTTTTGAAGGATGACAAATCTTGTCCAGTAACGATCCACACCATAGTCGATGGCGCCTTGAAGGGATCTGATAAGAGACACATGCTGAGAGAATTAGACGTGTGCATCCGAGCAGGTTCTATGAAATATCTCGCGAGTCTCGTAGGGACCTGCGAGACCACCGACATGTTATACGTCGTGTTGGAATTACCGCCTCAGATCTTGAAGGACCGTCTGTTAGGCGCGCGATCGGGAGATGTGTTTCCTATAGATCGTATAATGTTCATTTCGTCCTCGATAGCGATCGCCTTGCAATATTTAGCGAGCCATAAAATCATTCATAGTCGCCTCTGTGCACGAAGCGTGGGACTGACGAGCGATGGGACCCCGAAACTTATAGGGCATGGTATCGCCAAGTATGCCTTACAAGACTTAAAGTATGCAAGGTGGATGGCCATCGAGTGCTTCGATAATCAGACAAAGCATCAGCCAGGCGTGATATGGGCATTCGGCGTGCTTCTCTGGGAGATATTTAGTATGGGTGGTACACCGTACTCAAATTTGACACTCGACAGCGAAGTGGAGGACGCGATTATGCAAGGTGTCCGGTTACCGCAATTAGTGGATGTCACAGATCCGATTTATGAAGTTATGTTATCCTGTTGGCGAGACGATCCCGAAGAACGGCCCACGTTCGATGAACTTATACGATTGGTAAGTAATGAAAAATCAGTTCTTTAATAATAATGTTATTGATTCTTAAAATTTTTTATACTTACATACTGTTTGTTTTATAGGATACCTTGAGTGTTTGTCCTATTACTGCAATCACAGAGCCCTATTTACCAGAATTGGAGTTGAATTAACATTCTCATTTGCTATCTTTAGACATACCTGCATTTATTTAGTAACGTATCGAATTCCTAGTTGTAAATATTTCATTGTGTTCACGAGAATAGTAGACTTTATCGTTACCAACGTAGGCATACGTTTATATCTACATATTCTCTGTCTCTCTCTCTCTCTCTCTCTCTGGCATTCTAAACTTAAAAATTTTAGTATAATAATGTAAGTGATATAAGTGTTATGAAAACACTCGTACTAATTCCGTCCACGTTTAATGAAAAATAATTGAGATTAGTATGTAACGAAATTAGAATAAGATTATAAATATTTATATAGACATAACGCATCGAGCATTACGATAGAAAATATTTTATTTTTTTGTTTCTATCTATATTATATATTACATTCGTAAATGTCAATTTTTCTTTTATATGAGATTTTAATTTACAGCAATACCAAGGCAGAGAAAGTACTTTATTACCTGTTGATTGCGAGATCTATGAATGTAGATTTTTATGATATCTTTCAGTTACTCTAATGTGTTTTAGTACTTACACGTGTAAATCCATATTATCGTACTCATTCGATAATGCTTCAAAAGTACAAATGTATTAATACTGATATTTACGTAGTATATGTTTTTAAATAATTAGCAAAATTGCCACGAAGAATAACATTCGAATGTTAATTTTTTAGAAGATAACTTTTGGACTCGTTAAAATGTCTTTCAAAGTATTTATTTTAAATCTTTTATACACAACTTATGCCATACGAATTGTATTTTTGTTTTAAGTTTAAATATTGATTTTTCTAGTGCGCATATTTTAATTTGTCAATTATGATGTACGTTTATGTTGTATACGTTTCATTTTATAGAAGCCCATATATATACTTTGTATATTAAGCAGAATTTTTATAAAAATATAATATGTCATTATATTATAATATTATGTTATATATAATATTATACACTAAGCAAAAAATACAATTTTTTATACATACTTTTCTTCTTACGCATTTCTGTGTCTTATTCCAAATAAAAGTAAAACATTTATCGTCTAGTTTAGAGCGAAACATTTTTCTACCTTTTAACATAAACTTAATCTACGGAATCACAAAAATAAGGTTTTAATTAAACAGATATCTACTGTTGTAGATTCGTAATTTAATAGGTAAATTTTCTTATAGTTAAATTCTAAAAAAAAGTTTTATTTATTTACTAGTCAAGCGTTTAACTTTTTATAAAGAATAAAAAAAGTGATTGTGCGTCAACTTTTTTGCCGCCATTAATTCGAGGCGATCGATTATTTCCGGAACGGAAGATATATTTATATCGTATGGGGTGCCGAGAACTTACTCGAGTGAGAATGCGTCGGTTTGGGACCGATCGTGGGTGTCCTGCTTGAAACGGGGCACAGAATTTGTTTATACGCCTCCCTGTACAGTTTGTTGGTGCCGGCATAAATGAAAGGATTTATCACCGCGGATGCCCATGCGAGCACGGATGCCACTATATGAAGTATCGGAATCTTCATCTTATCGTCGATGACGTTCGCCAGCATCAGCGGCATGAAGCACAGCAGAAAACAGAGGAATATAGTAAGCATTAGTCTGGTCACTCTGGAGTCTTCCCGCCGTTGAAAACCACCGCCTCGTCGGCCGCTTTCCGCCGCGTGGGCCTCGAGATTCTTTCGGCTTCTCCGTACACGCCAATATATGCAGAGATACGAAACACTGATCACCACGCATGGTACGATGAAGCCTAGGATGAACAGAAACTTCTTCGGACTCGAGCCATTTTTCTTCAGTATGGTACATGAGAAGGTGGCCGAATCTAGTCCTAGGGTACCCCAGATGCCTAATAAGGGTGGCAGTAGCATCAAGAAACTTAGAGTCCATATACCTATTAACATCAGCATTATGCCGCGAGTAGTGTATAACTGGGTATAAATGTCCGACTGTGAGATCAGTATATATCTGGAAAAAAAAAAACAAAATTTTAGCTACGTAATTATTAGCGTGTGTTTGAAAAAATATATTTACCTTTTATACCCTTAAGATATATTAAAAATATATTATATTTTTCTTAAATACATATTAATGTATATTTTTTAAAATATATTTCTTTTTTTATTTCAAAATACAAAGGAAAATAATTGTTGGAATTTACCTGTTAATAGTAATTGCCACCATGCTGAGTAAAGATACGGCGACATTCCCGTAAAAGAATAAGGGGAATATCTTGCATAGAGTATCACCCAGAACCCACGCTTCGTTCAAATATCTACTGGCGGTTAAAGGCAAGTTTACCGCTGAGAAGATCAGATCGGAGATGCTTAGACTTATCACAAAAGCCGTGGTGGCGTGTCGTCTCAGTCTGGTATATTTTAATAATGCAATTACCGTCACTAAATTACCTGGAATTCAGAGATATAGGATTCAATTTGTTGAACAAAAGATGCGGCCAGAGAGGTAAAACAATTAGGGGATACAAAACGTTACCTAATACTCCAATAATGCTGAATATTATAGCGCATACTGCAGCAGTGATAGTCACGGAACGTGTAAATGTCTTCGGACCTACAGTCTCTGACTGAGTGATGATTTCGAAGATTGCCGTGTCGTTTGCCGCGAAGTTCCCCATTTTTTTTAGCAAATGCGCGGAAAACAGTTTTTCTTCCTTCGCATTCTTCAGAAAATCAAAAATCGCCGTGATTAATGTGCTGTAAAAAATAAGGAAGCACGTATAAAAAAAATTGTTCTATTTTAAAGGCCATAACGTACGAAAGAAAAACGTAAGCCGTAAGATGTATAAACTCTAAGCAAATCAACATTTCAAATTTGCTGTCGTTTTGTTGGGCCAATTCGCTTATTTCTTACGTTTTACTGTTTGACATGTTTCTCTGTGTGCTATGCTTTTTAATAAAGTATCTTAATATAATTATTCCGCTGTTAACTTTTATCTTCCAATTTTCAATTTCCGGTTTTAATGAAAATTGAAACCGATGACAATAGAAAAAAAGTAAAAAAAAATTTCGAAAACCGTAAAATCAAGTTGTCATTTTGGAAACTCATAAATTTATTTTTAACTAATGATTTTATAAATTTATTTAATTAATTTTAGAAAATTTCACAAAGATTCCTCTCAAAGATTGCTTTGTAATTCGCTTATCTCTAGCGAAATAACTGGACCAACGACCCTTGCACGCAATTAAACGCACTAACTTTCCTCATCCACTCTTCGTTTACACTACTCCTTCTTTCATTCATTAGTTTCTATCTGTTCCATTAATTCCATGAATTTCCTCGCCGTGGAAAGATAGGCAGAGAGAACACGCATCCCTCAAGACGGATATTCCGAGGCGCCTTATCACACATGCCGCATCAATTAATTTCCATATTTCTTCATGTTCGCTCGTTCTCCCGTTAAGAACACACCATTAGTCATACCGATAAATTTTTGTGACCTTCTCGGAATACTGCTTATATAGTGCTGCAGCAACAACGCGAACTTTGGCCTGAAACGGCAGGAGCTCACACACCGAATCGTTTCGTGACGCTACATTGTAGTTGTACGCTACATTATTGTTAATTAACTCGCGAAAGGTATTCTTCCAGAAATTACTGTAGTACTTTATGGCGTCCAATTAAGTCGCTATCTCTGAACAATTCGTCCCAATTATCCTCTTCCTTCCTTGTAATTAGCTCTTGATCGTTGCAATTCAACTTGTTTCTTAAACAGACTCGTTTACCTCGTAATTAAACTTCCAGGTATTTACATTGCGTACGTATTCATAATCATTTTTCTATTTCTTCTCTATTAGGAATTATATATGTTTTCTTCATACAAAGGAATGGCTTCTTCGATTTAGCGCATCATCACTGCGGATTTATGACACTGATTAATTCCAAAAAACCAAGATTATTATTTTTTTAATTATGTGTTAATCCTGCATTTATTCGTAGATGTTACAAATATTGCCGCAGTGAATGCGATGCTTAAACTACTCCCGTTATTTCGGTAGACGTTCATCCGCAGACTGACGAACTCTACTGACGCGTATCCCTTTACGAGTATACCACAAGTCTCCTTATCTAACTCACTCGATTTAACTCCGCCCCTTCTTCTTCTTCTTCCACTTTTTCCTCTTCTTCTTATCCTTTCCTTCCGCTTTATTCCACTCTTCGCGCCTATAATTTCGCTCCGATCTCAGCATTCAAAATCTCCTGGGATTTATTTAATGCGTCAGTGATCGATGGTAATTCGCAATAATTCATTTTTTACTTGTTTAGACGATGAGAGAGAGAGAGAGAGAGAAATTAAAAAAAAGTATCGTAAAAAAATGCTTAATATATAATCAAATTCGTATATATTTTGTATTTTGGTTTAATTTAAATTTAATGAATTTGTTATATTAAAATAGTAATCCTAAACTGACACAATTCTAATTAGCAGTTTATAAAATTAATTTAAATGACGATTTGAATTTGATTTAAACAACTTCTGTATACATAGATATATAAATTATTTTGTTGCAGAAATGAAAATAATACATTTTATATTATCATATTTGGAAAATTAATATTAAAATTCAAAAAAATTGCGCCTGTTTCAAATTAGGAATCGATTCGTCTATAGCTTATACATCCGTTCAGTCACATCAACGTCATCGTAAATTTCTTTCAGTTTGATACTATTTTTGGGACTATAAAACATATTAATGCACCAAACACGCTAAGTGAGGCGTGTAGTTCCAAAAATAGCATTTGGATGGATATTATGCTCTGACGATGTGTGCGATTATCATCCTGACCAGCATTCCATTTGTTGCACTCTATTTCACTCCATTTTCATCCATTTCGTTGTTTGCTTTACATGATCGAAAGTTTATTTGTCTAACTCGCAGACCGCGCCCCGCTTTATTATCCTTTAAAGAGGAGAAGATGAAAAGTAATAAAGATCGATTGCACAAAATTATAATAACATTCGATAGAGTGTTAATTGCACAAAAATAGAAACTATTAATCTACGGTTGGCAGTTATCGAACGTAAAAATTTTTAACACCGTATATATCAGAGGAAGAACTTTATATAATTTACTTTCGAGACATACTTAGCGGTTTTGAACACTCGGTATATTTATGGCGTATGCTAGAAGCATGTTTGTTTTCTTTCCTTACATATGTTTTCACATTCACGGTATTTGCTCAAGAGAGGGCAGTCAATATAATTCGATACTAACAAAATTAGGTATATAAATTTTACTTACAAGTATAAATGATTTACAAAAATAAAAAGATATACATATTTTTTATATAAATAACCCAACGTGCAAGTTATTCCTGCAGTACAATTCATATCCATGAATCAATCTTATAAAGGAGAAACGTATCAAACTTTAAAGTCTATTTTTCCGTTTATCGTTCCGTTTTTACACGATTTCTGACATTTATTAATTACGTTTCGAAAATCTCGGAGATTAGTGCGTCAGTCTGATTAAAAGTCACATTCGTGTACGCGTATTCCTTTGAGTCTTCTTGAAGCACGTGGCGTCGTACTCGAAGTATATATCTACACGTGAATTACCTTGAACGGCACGTGTCGTACTTGCATCAGAATCGCTCGATCGAGCGTTTTATTCTATCACGAAGTACACACCCACATTATCCACATGTTCACATCCACAAAGTCATCAAACACTTTGTCTCATTCCGACAAATGACTACAATAAACTGCCCTCGACTCACCGGTGAATCGTTGCGATGATAAATATATAACGACTAGCATGCCGGATAGACGGCGACTAAAGCCGAGCTCGCTTCCCGATTCCGAGCGATCGGGGCAAACGCGAATGTGACTTACCTCCGTATAGGTAGCAGCTGTCAAGGGCCACAAAGGGCACCGAACAATTGGAAAGGAGTGGCCCCCGACAAATAAAACTCACCCTACTGCCTTCTTTCATCCCTGCTGCGGTAACGGCGCCGCGTCGGCCGGCTATGTCGAGCTCTTCGAGCTGATTAAAGGTAAGTTGCAGACCCCGCAGAGATCCCATGCTATATAGAGAGAAACGTCGCGTCGTCACAAGAAAACATCATATCGTGCACCGAACACAGCTCGCGGCAAGTGATAGGAAAGTTATTTTAGATTTTTGTTCACGTCACGTATATTACATCCGCAGTCTACTTTAGATGATTAATCTAACGTCAGAATTCTATTTATAATTTTGTTTGCCATGTGTTCTGATGTACATGTGTATTTTAATATAATATTTTTTATTTAATACATGTATTTTATTTATATTTTATAATATTATTTATTTTTATATATATATATATATAATATATACAAACAATCTATAATAAGTATAGAATTTAAAATAGATTCTCTATTTTTAATTTTACTGTTTATTATATATATAGATTATTTATTATTATTGTAGTTATATATACGTTGTCTAAAGTGGAATGTGCAGAACGATATTTAGTAAAAGAAAATTGAAAAGAGAGAGAATTTCAGATTATAATGCATTTATCTAAATGATTTTATAGTAAAATATGTTTAATTGTATATGAAATCAGATAAAATATTTTCTTATATCTTGTATGAAGTAAAATTTTATTAACGGACGATAATTGGCCAGATAATTTATCAATTTTGAAAATTATGCATGAGTGTGTATCGTAGTTTATTTTTGTGGTCACCCACTCGTAAAAAAAGCAAAGACTCAAGCGATGAATATACATATTTCGAATAATGGATTGGGACGGTCAGAAATTTTGAAATAACTTGAAAAGAAACACTTGATTTCTGTTTAATTAATCTCGTACAAGAATATTATGTTAAGTACATTTATTGTATATTCCGATGTGTCGTATATGTGATAAATCTTTTGTATTATCCTTGAAACGAATCTTTTATTTTATATTTATTTTCATTTTCGTTTGATATGTTGCGATATTTGCTGAGACGGAAAAGATTCGGTGGAATATAGTAATTGTTGTATAGTAATTTTCAATTTTTGTCGAATGTTTCGTCGAGTATTCTGTGAGAATACATCTGCTCTTTGGTTAATATCGCTGTAGGTATTGAATTGAATACTCATAGGATTTTATATATAATCTTTATACAAATATTGATTAAATATCGTCAAATGACATATCTCTGGATAAACATCCATTTATCATTTTCTATAGATAGCTACCAAATCTCACGGCTTCACAGAGTTAGCGTTATAAGTCTTTACAAACTCGTGAACGAAAATCACGCGGCGGTTGAAATGAGACTCGCCACACCGTGTAAAATCTCGGATATAATGCATTATTTATTCGCTATGTATACACTCCCTACATCATCAGTCACCGTGATAATATCGCGTGTCCTGACTACAATTTTCAGTGCTGAGTGGATTAAAAGTGTGGGTCAGTCGGACAATCGGGCACCGTCAAGGTGTCACGAACAAAGAATAATCCTCGTTGAATATCTATGCTCGAAAATGCTCCAATTCAATTCAACAGAGAAAAATTTTTTTCTATCAAATTTTCCTGCTGATGACATTTTTTTAAAGATCAAAGAGATTGCCTTCTTTCTTTTCTTCGCAAAATATGAGATAAGTTTATAAAATTGTGTTTATTTGTTGAATTTATATATTGTTTTCGTTAATTACCATTAATCGAAAAATCCAAATATATATTTGACGTAGATGTTGATAATGTGTGATTTCTTTGGCGGAACACAACAATAATGCTTCTGTGTTTTATCTTATCTCGTTGTTATAGTTTTAACAAGAACGGTTCGGAAATTCTGAATACTAACAATAAAACTATAATATAACTAAGGGGAAGTGAGAGTAAATAACTGCGCAGTAATCAATGTGTTATAGTTATAAAATATATTTAAAAGTATATTTAAATTATACTACGTATGTGTCGC